TATGAAAACAGCACCGAGGAATATAGGAAATATCATATGAAGAAATTATCGATGAATTCGGCAGTCTTAAAACGAGAATAGGAAATTTTCAAAGTTTAAAATGTACACCATAATAATAATTTATAAATATAAATTGTATTCGTAAGAAAAAAACGGTACATTTAAAGGTTTAAAAAAATATCATCGCGTCGAATTTTTTAATTAGTTAAAAGGCGTCTTCTTCTAAGTTTACCAGAGGCACTAGCGAGTCTTCCCACGCCACTGGGTAGGTACCTAATTATTTTTCATCGGCAATTATTTAAAGGTAAGTTATTTTTTGTGCAATCGAATAAATTCGAATTGTAAATAAATTATACCGGTTTTGTATAATAGGTTATTATTCATATGTTTTGTTCTACCCATACCGTTTGAGTTATATTACTTATATTGCTCTTTAGTTGGGTTAACGGTCACTTTGTACGGTCTATTGTTTAAAATGCGAAACGCGGACACTTTGTACGGTAGGGTAAAAATAAAAATTTCAGAACTTTGTACACTTTGCGGACACTTTGTACTATTATATACATATTATGTACATTTATACATATTATATACGTATAACATATATTATACATACATTGGTAATGTGGACTACAGTATAGGTAAAATTTTAAAACTAGCATGATCCGTAAAATATACTACGATATGGTATTTGCGGTGTTAAGATTCAGACCTAGTCATAGTATACATTATACACAGGGCCGGATCTAGGGGGGGGGAGTCGGGGATTTATCCCCGGACGTAACATTTTAGAGGGTGTAATTTTCGTAATTATTAACAACTAATTTGATATTTTTAACTTCGTTAAATACTGATATTAGGTTAAAACTCAATAAGTACGATTGTATATTGATTATAAGAACACAATTTATTTGAGTATTTGTTTATTAGTCTATAGATAGGGCGTAATTTTAACATTTTACCCAGGCGTAAAAATTCCTAGTTCCATCTCTGATTATACATATAATGAACAGTAATATTTTATATTTAATTTTATCGTAGGTATGTTATGTGTTATAATAAAAAATAAAATTGCAAAGATTTCTGTTATATAAATTAGAAATTAAAAATCTAAAAATAAAACTAAAAACAACATGTAGAATAAATATAATTTAAAAATTCGCAATCAGATATTCGTTTTTGTTGATGATGGTTACATAAATCGAATAATTTACCATCTTTAGCCTTGGATATATGTTTCTTATTCGGTCTATTTCCACATTCATCCAACTGGTCTGCCCGTAGAACTGTCCAAAAACTCGGATTAGTTGTTCCAACTAATTTGTTGAATGAACTATTCCACCCTTCACCGAAATCCGTTCGTTTTCTTTATTTAATTTTGTGAGACCAAGTTGTTGAACTTGTCGCCATACAGACTGGCATAAATGAAAAAAAAAAAACCTTGAATATGGACTGCATTGGAAACTCGATTTATGATAATATAATATACGTAAAGTTTTACGTGATTTTACCTATACCGCAGTCCACATTACCAATGAATATATATTATATGTATAAATGTACATAGTATGTATATAACAGTACAAAGCGTCCGCGTTCGGAAATTTTTTATCCTCTTTAGTTATTGATTATTTATTTTGTTCATTGAATAATTACAAAATAAGTGGTTATATAGGACCCCCGTGTTCTTATGTGGTCTACTTATAACCTACAGATAAAAAAAATACTTGGTAGAAGATGTGGGGGGCGCTAAAAATGACATTTGGCATCGGTAAAATTCTCCGGTACAATAATTTACGATTGTATTTGTCTATCCGAAAAAATGTTAACGTATTGTAGTATCCGTCACTAAATAAATATTATTGTGTCTTAGACAGCTGTTTTGATATCGGTACAATGAACATCCGTCGAGAAATCATTTTAAGTGCCATTTTCGATAAATTTACTATTTTTAATACATCGCAACAACGACAACGCAACCGTTCGAACGGCTGCGATTATTCTAAAACGTAATTTGTTGAAATCGTTCGTAACGCAGTCACTCTCACTTTCTAATTCGTTTTCGATCCCGTACGCGCGGTACACACACGTAAGTTATCTCATTAGCATGGCAACCGTCGTTAACAGAACTATTTCCTCTTCCCGTGCACACTCTCTCGTCCGTGAACATTTTATGGACAAATGTCTCTGTTCGGACTTAAAACCGAGAACACCGCACAGAGATTTATTTACTATTTTCAGCGTTTACCAGTAGACGAAGTGTACACGCGAACGACGGACCGATGATCTTGCACAACACGTCGTGCGTGCGTGTGTGCAGTGCAGTATAATTGTTGTTGCGACGTGAAATAGTACATTCGTAGGCTATTACAGACTAAGAGGCACAAACATCATCCAGTAAATTTACTATTGTACATCGCAATGAAATCAGTCGTACTTAACTGAAAAATATGACCTACATAATATATATATATGTGTGTGTGTGTGTGTATTATAACCGTACATATTTTCTGCAATGTATGTCAAACTCGTTTTTTGTTAGCGAAAACTTAATAAAAAAAAATCGTTTTAAGTATAAAAAAAAAAAAAAAAATACTGGTTCTCGTCGTGAACACGTCGAACAACGCACTCGAGCACGTATTCAAGTACCGTGCTTTAGAGATACGCCGGACGACCATAGGCGCAACTAGGGAGCGCGATAGGGTTTTTAGCACCCCTCAGTTCAAATGTAGCACTCCTGTTTTTCTCTCTCGGATCTATATAATTTTATAGTAATTGCATTTTAATACCGTTTTATTTTATTTTCAGCGATTTCAATACCCCCAATATTCGGGGTCTAGTTGCGTCGGACAACATTAAATGTCCTGGAACAAGAGACGCGACGGAAAAAGCAGTTCGACTGTGCGTCGAAAATATGTTTTAACGGATCGGATGAAGCAACAAGGAATACAGTTCATTGTTCCCGATGGTAATCAAGACTCGCAAGGTGATACGGCGGGGCCGGGGCTTTGGCTCTTTCAGCGCAAGAATTGTGTTGGCGATCCTCCATCATAAACGACTTGAACGTACAACTTGAGCAGGCGGAATTTCGAGAGCTGGAGTGGCCTCGTTGTGCACATTATAACCTAAGTCTCGTTCATGATCAAAAACGCTCAAAATAATTTTTCAATGGTCCGTTCTTGTAAATCATTCGGAGAACAAACATAATAATATATATAATTATACTTGTAAAAAGTATAGTGATAGCTTATAAAACTGTAATTGTACGGGCCAACTGTTGCATGTCGATATAATGATAAATAATGTAAATTATAATAATAATCAAATTTATGTTGAATCGCATCGTGAAATTTTTTATTTCAAACTGTACCTAGTAGACGATTTGCGTGGCCAACGATTGATCACATTTAATTCTCATTTTGATGCCTCTCACGCGCCCTTCTGATTTTGGCGCCCTGTGCCGTCGCACGCGTCGATCGTATCTAAAGCCGGCCCTGGACACAGGGCCGTAGCAAGGGGGGGGGGCTTGAGGTGCCTACGCCCCGGGTGCATAAATGAAAATTTGCAATTTAATTGTTAATTAGTAGTAAAAGTAATATTATGTATTTATGTATTTAATTATACAAATTGTACAATGGCGTACGAAGGATCGCTAGCGCCCCTGACAAACTTAGAAAAAAAACGCTTTTTGACCAATTAAAATTTGATGTAATATTTTTTTTTTTAACTTTTAATTTAACTCATTTTTTTAAGTACATTGTTTATATTTATAATTTATTATTACGGTGTTAATTTTAAACTTTGAAAATTTGCTTTTCTCGCTTCATAACTGACAAATTCATCGATAATTTCTTCGTATGACATTTTTTATTTAAATGCCCTTGTGCTATTTTCATAATTTCATCATTAAATTCACACGTAGTGTGCACAAGTAGACAACATCTACGTATTTCAAAAAGTATAATGGAAAAATTTCGATTTAATTGTAGGATAAAAATACGACTTCCGCACGATTTTGCATCCCTATGCAATTCGCGCCCCTGGCGTAGGCGCAGTTCCCCATTCCCTTGCTACGCCACTGAACTTATAAATATTATTATGTTATACCTATGTACCTACTCATAATTATAATGTGTATTTATATTTTAATAAGTTATTGATTTAAATAAAATTAACAAACTCTTACATAGCTATAAAGAAAAATCATTATTTGTATTGCGTTTATTAGAAATACTGAGTTTTTTTATAAATTAAAATATTTAAAGACACATTTTGAAGTTTCGCCCCGGGCGCAATATTGCTACGGCCCTACATGGACACAGTATTTGCAACGGAGCCCGTTGGGAAATAACGTAAATATAATACACAAATGGCACTAGAGATTTTCCATCGCTTGGGCCGGCATCGCAACGTCTAAGATTCATTCCGATTGCGAAAAAAACAATCTTCCAAGTGGGGGAAGAGGACGTCTTCAGATTTGATTTATCGTTAACAAATGTTTCTTCTGTACACGTTTCAGAGTATAAAAATTTTACTACCACGTTCCGTACACATGGACAGTGGCGCCGATCCTGCCCAGTGGCGGCGTGACGGCAGATTTTTGAGTCCCTGGACTAAATTCGGCTGCGACACGATTGAGCATAAAACACCTTTTTTGCGACACGATTGAGCATAAATTGTCGGCGTATCAAAGGAAATTGAAATACAAAAGAAAACCAACACGATTGAGCATAAAAAACTCTGCAACGTTGCCATTTTCAATTTTGAACTGTATCGTATAAAAACATTTATTTAAATAATTATAATAAATCAAAATATAACATGACAAAAAAATATCATGTTTTCATAGTCAATATTTAATATGCATGAAAATACTTATGATAGTAGTATAAATAGCTGTCACAGTATATAGATATTTTTGTTAATAATAAAATAATAATAATAGTTATGACTTATGACTTATCAAAATAATAAAATCAAAATATTTATAAATAGTTGTCACATTCATATTATAATACAGTATAATATACCTAGCTAGATTTTTTGATAATAATAAATTAAATTGATACACCTTGGTATCTGCTTCCAATTTGACTTAAATAAATTAATAAAGATTCCGTATTCTTACGATTTAAAAACTGGCTGTAGGCTTGAATATTCAATTCATTTTTTTTTATTTCTTTTGCGGATTGTAATTTTCCAGGCTTGTGTCGAATTGAATTGATCTTAGTCGATGTTTCCGCTTGTGTTTCGATCAATACCCTAACGACTGTATGAACATGGGGGTGAGGTGAATAAAACTGTGAATTGTACGTGCGATGAAAGCTTTCAGCTGCATTGGTCGTTCTAAAAAAAATTAAATAAAACAATACAAATTAGTAAAAAAAAGTTTTTATAATAAGTTTTAAAAAATATTGTTAAAAACCTTGGGTTTAGCGAAGGAGTTTCCGCCCAAATATTTGGAGGAAACTGGCAGTGATCTTCAATATAGTTGTGTATAATGTAATCAGAAAATATGAAACCGTCATCATTTGGACAAATTGATATTAACTCGTGAAATGCATCAACTACTTCTTCTGGGGAAATAAACGCCAAACCAAAAAACATTTTCAACCATTTCCCTAGTTCATTACTGTTGTCCATGTATGCTATTCTGAGTGAAGGTTCGCCAACAATCTACAAACAAATTATTATATTTTAGTAAAAAAGCACTATATTATATAACTGTTTCTTACTTTTTTCCACCATGATTGTCCTAAATGAAATCTACATCCAATTATTTTAATATTTCCAAACACGTCTGTAATTGCCTGATGAGCTCCAATTTCAAAATCAACATGAAATGTGTTAATTTGCAAACTTTTTTCGCATAATTTCAAACATAAATTATTTAAAAATTGCCACATTTTAATATAAGTAGACCTAGTTTTATTTGGTAAAAAAAAGTAAACAAGTGGTAAGTAGTATCCATTTTTATATCCATGTATTGTGTACAATTGAATAAAATATTTTGGAGCATAATTAAATGTGCCATCGCCAAAATACTCAGTACAATTATTTGTCATAAATTGTAGATTTTGTTCTGTAGTTAAACATACAAAATTATCATCAGTCGGCATGTAAATGAATTGTTGACCCTTATATTTAAAACATTCTTCATTTTTTAAGTCACTTAATTGATGAATTGTTTCATCCAAAGAAGTTGGTAATTTAGGATAGGTCTGCTTCCGTTTATCATACATTGCTTTCCGTACATTTCTTACATTTTGATTGTTTAAATTTGATGTTGGAGAAGAATTTAAAAGTTCGGTGCGAATAATTTTAAGTGGCCGTGTGTAAATTGATTCTTCAGCTTTTCTTTTGCAATTTTCTCTTAAAACTTGCGTTTCTATTTTCTCAATAGAATTTTTATCGTGATTATGTTGTCCAGCAGTTTCAATCACTTTACGTTTATCGAAACCCGAGAACATTATTGCCGAACATTTATTATTAGTACACCTCCATCTCAAAAGATTGTCTTTTTTTCGCTCTCCAATTAATTTATACTTGTATAAATTAACTAGGGCCAATTCTTTGCCTCTTTCCGATAAAATAATTGTTATATCCATATTTTAAAAAAATAGAAAAACGCACTAAGTATACACGCACTATACACTACACAGGTGATCGAACACTGATATTATTTCTATAATAATTTTGGATTTGTATCTTAATTATCTTATATTTTCCCCCGATGCTAAATGTTTAAAACGTCGTTTTGCTCCGGAACTAATTTATTAATCGATAACATTGTCGATAAAATTTATAAAGCCGATAAAGCTCACGGCTCGCGTCAGATATCATAATAATTGGTGTAATAATACGAGAAAATAATAAATTACAAAATTTTGGCAACGTGAATGTGGCAACGTCGCATAAAATATTCTATGCTCAATCGTGTTGCTAAAAAGGTCTATGCTCAATCGTTTTATGCTCAATCGTGCTTTACCGCTAAATTCAGAGGGTGGGTATTGACCATTAGGTATCGAGTTGGTATGTAGCATGTAGAACGAATAATGGGGGAGCTCTTTTTACAAGCTACCCTTAAATTTATTTTTAGGTGGGTGTGTGGGTGGGAAAAATCCTAACAAGACTCATGAAGTAAAATATTTCGCACCGCCACTGATCCTGCCTTTCAGGGGTTTGAACATTTTTTTTATATGTTTATAATTTTTATCAGTGGCGTATAATTATATGGTGTTCTGTCTTTCACAGTAAGTTCGTAGGCATTAGTTCATAACATAAAGGAGTGGTGGTTTTAAAAAAAATTATACTGCCACTCTTCTTGAAATAGGCGCCACTGCACATGGAACGATCGATGATTGTTCGTCGCATTACTATTGCTCCACGAACATCGACTGTTTATGATAAATTTTGCACTTGTGATTATGTTGGTACCATTTATAGCGATGGACAACAAATTATTTTAAGCGTTACGAAATGGAACTTTGGTCACGTTTAAGATTTCTTTTTTGCAAAAGTGCAAGAATTTACTACCTACCTCATTATATTTGAAAGGCTACGGAAAAAAAAAACTATAATAGTCAATATTCCCAAATAGTTTGGTATCGCAGTTTCTGAGTTTCAAAACTCAAAAAACTAAAAGAAAAAAAAAAATGTTATCTACTTTTTAAAACGATTAAAAATGACTAGGTGGTATAATTATCTTTTTTTTTTAACTATTATCATTTTTTCCCGCAGCTCTTCATTTGGTTTTAGTATATAAACTACTTTTAGAAATAAAAAACGATATAATACCGACCTCTTCTACTCGGTATTGATTTTACAAGAGAGCACCGATTTCAAGCTTAAAAAACCCATTACAGTAGAATCATTCACTTATCCCTCTATCTCACACAACTTAGAAGTTTAGCCCTTATTCCGTCACATATATATTGTATCTTATTTAAAGAATTTATTATTTGAATTAAATTTTTTTTTATATATATAAAAGATAACCTAACAGTCCTTGCAAATTTTAAAATAGAACAATATAAAATACTTAAAAATGAGAAAATTTAAATCTATTTTTTATAAAACTTAACAGGATTAAAACATCATTCCAAATAATTAATTTGAATTTTAAAGTTTAGACATTAGATATAATGATTAGAAAATCATTCGGGTCGATTTGTACATACACAACAGAAATGAGATTGATTTTAATAAATTAGTATGTATAATTGTTTACAAGTACAGTAGAAAAAAATAAATAACAAGCTGAAACTAGACTTTCAAGTGTTTTAAAATGTACTTACACACTAACAAAATTCTTTAAAATTTGTACAGTAAAAACTTGTTGTACCCATTCTTAAAACATATTTAAATTATAACATTTACATATGGATTAAAACGATAAAAAAAAAAAAAAAATAATAATAATAATAAATAAAGTACAGGTTGTGATGAAAAATAAAATAATGCTGAGCATAAACAACTACAAAAATACTGTTGGTGAACTAAAATAACTTAAAGATAAGAATAGGTTACTTTACTAATACAATCAATTGTTAGCATAAGATATATATTTGTTGCACATGCATTCTCTTGTGATATAATTGTAGTCCTTCTTATGTTGTAGAATCCATGTAAATCAATATACTGGTAACATTTTTTTTTTTTGTTTTTTGTTATGAAGGTTAAATAACAATATTAATAATTAAATTAAATAATAAAACAAGAGATTATCTGTGCAAGGACCCATTCAAAGGTTGTAAATATGAGCTATTGTATGCTGATGTTGGATATACACTGTTCTGATGGTGTGGATCCTGTGAATGTGTCGTGTACTGCAACTGCCCTGTCGTTTGATTCATATAGCCTGCAGCAGATGGCGGAGGAGTGGATTGCGGCGCTACCCTGTAACCGTTAAAAGGTGGCGGTGCACCATATTGCATTGGCATAAGGCCAACATTAGGCGATGCCGGAGAACCACGTGATTGATGAACATACTGACGAGACTGATTTGTCTGTCCAGCTTGTTGATACAATTTGTGATAAGCAACTGCTGATTGTTGAAGAAGATGAGCTGCAGCTGCTGATGCTGCAGGAGGGGGAGGAGTCATATTGGCAGGTGATGAGGCTGGAGATGAAGCAGGTGAAGTAATATGCCTGCGATGATGATCCAATCCATTAGTCATTTGCTGAAGTTTGGAGAGATTACATGATGCAATTTGGGCAGCTGCTGCTGCTGCATGTTGATTAGAATGTGACAAGTAAAAATCAGCCGATGAACATGACCCCCCACTTTGTTGACCCATGCGGTGTTGGATCACAGAGTGGTGATAGGGACTAGAAGGAGACGGTTGAGGCATCATGTATGTAGCGGTTTGATGGTGGTGATGATAAGATTGTGTATGAGTGGGTAATGATGGAGGCTGTTGAGTAGATGGTGTAACAAGTGTTTGATTCTGTTGTGCCAACCTCCTCTGTTCACTTTTTTTATTCCTAGACTTTGTCTGGTGAACAGGAGGCTGTGCTGTAACAGGTGGACTATGATGATATTGAGTAGAATGGGCCAAATGATGATGTAGCGATAGGTGCATCATGGATTGGTCTGTATAAGGGGACTGCTGCATAACAGAAGAATACAAAAGACTGTTGTCAATACTTTTTGGCAGATTCATAAGATCTTTGTCTTTTGGCATGTTCATGTTAACAGAATCCGTTTTTTTATCTGAATACGTATCTTTAGATGTTTTAGGAATGTCTGAATGAGTCATAGCTATTGAATTGTTTATTTTTTGATAGTTGATAAACCCCATGGGGGCCAGATAATCATGCACTCTTGGTTTTTCTACTTGTGGTACTTCAACAGGCAATCTATAAGTTTTCGGTGAAGGTGTAGTCCTTTTAGATGGTTTTTCAGGTTTAGTATTATCATATTTTGGCACAGTAATTGTATTGTCAGCCCCGATTGAATGGGAGTAATTTTTTTCGGAATTCTTTGGTTTGGATTGTTCTCCAACTTTGAACACTTCTTGGGAACTATTAGCAGACACTGGAAGAACTGGTGAATTTTTATACTCAACAGATTCTTTATTGTACATTTGTTTGTTCATTTCCGGTTGAAGTATATCCAATTTTCGATATTCATTCAATAAAGCTTCACTATATTGTTTTACATTTGGTTGCTCTACAGTATTTGTTTTACAGAATTCGTTTGGTAATGATTCACTTGCATATTGTTTAACATTTGACAGTAATCCTGAATCTGATGATGATTTGCAATATTCATTTGTAATCATTGAATTACCAAATTGTTTTTCATTTACAGAAGAAACTGGTTGTGTGGGTATTTCGGACTTAGTAAAATCATTGCACGTTGGGTCATTAAATATTCTTAAGTCCGTTTCAATAGAATTACCTTTGAACTTACTTGGCAAGTCAGCTTGATACTGTTTTGTTTCAGTTTGAATGAGACTCGTCTTATCATAATTATTTTGCATACTTTCATTTTGCTTTACTTCTATTGGAGATGTATTATTTATATTCTGTTCTTTAGGTTGTTGTAATGTAACATCATTCAAAGTGGATTTAAGAGATTTATCCACATGTGATGAAATATCTGAACCACTTTTAGTAGATTCTTCATTTGACTCTAATATTTCTTCTTTTGTAACATCATTACACAAATCAATTACATCAGACTTTGCGGTCTGGCTTTTAGACTTTAGATCATCATCATTACAAGTAATTTCCACATTATTTAATTTACACTCTTCAAGTTTTGGTGGTTCACATTCCTTTTTGCAATCTTCAAGTTTTTCATTAATATCTTCATCAATATCTTTAGAAGAACATACATTTTCAACAGTATTCGTATCAATCTCAATATCAGAGCTTGGACTCGAACATTTATCAGGGGTATTATCACATTTTTTTTCAATGGATTCATTATCACCAATAATACTTTTGTTAATTGTATCAATTTCAATCTTTTCTTCTACAATATTTTTATTTTCACCCTCCTGCTCCTGTTCTTCGTCTAAATTCTCTAAACTGTGATTTTCTTTTTCTCCTTCATCGTATGGTGGTTCAGACTTATCTTTCTTTTCTTCTTTTTCATCAGTCTTTTTATCTTCTAATTTATCATCTTCTTTGAACTTTTCAATGTTTTCATTTTTTACCTAATAATTAAAATATACAATGAAACATAGATATATATAAGATGTACCATAAATATTAAAATATCTACTCACAGACTGTACGTCTTCATTGTCCTCATTAACAACTTCAATTTCAGGGGATTTAGATGGCGCTTCTTTTTTCCTAACTTTTTTAACTTTAGGTCCACTCTTATCATTTAGAGTTTTAGGTCGCGGTCTTTTACGCGATCTACTCTTAGGCAACTTCCTTTTTTTTTTAACAGGTAACGTAGTATCTTTAGAATTTGTGATTTCTCGCTTAAGGAAATTTGAAATTAAACTGAAATACATTTTTATAATTAATTGTACACAAAATTAAAATTAAATGATATAAATGCATACCTTTGTTTGGATTTAACTTGAGAGCTTGATATTTCTTTTTTAGTATCTTCATTACATACTTCTTTAGTAAAACATTTAATTTCTTTTACTTCAATAGTCTTACTTAATTTCGATTTTGGCTTCAACTCCTTCAATAAAGTACTTTCTTCAATCGGTTTTTCTTCTAATTTTATGTCAACTATTTTTTCACTTTTATTTTTTTTAATGGGTTGGTCTAAATTATTTGTATTTTCATTTGGTTTATCAAGTTTGATTTTTTCTGCTCCAAACAAACATCTACGTTTTTTCTTATCCACTTTTTTACGTCTATGGATCATTGGCATTCTTCTTGTACTACGCTTCTTTTTAATTGGACTTTTTATGATTTCAATTTTAATTGGTGGAAGTTCTTCAAGGTCTTGATTATCCTAAAAATAAAATAAAAATAAAATCTATTTTATTTTATTTTATTTTAATCAGAAAACAAACTTTGCTATCAGGTGAAATCAATATGTTAGATGCTGGCATAAGAGGTGTCCACCTTAAACATTCTGGTTCGATAACAATTTGTTTTGATGAACTTTTTTTCTTAATATGAGCATCAACAATATTCCAATCAATACAAAGAGTCAATTTTTCATTATTTTCAACAATAAAGTTAAGAGATTGTAATGTATAAGTAATATCATGTCTCAATAAACCTAAATTAGAAAAATATTATAACCATTTTGTTATATTATGCTAACTGATTAACTATTACCTGTCTCCTTGCTAATGTCACTAATACAAATAGTTTCATTATTTCTCGATTTATCAAAATATTCTAAAATTACAGCTTTCCAGTAAGCATGATATGACACTTGACCTAAGTCAGAAAGAGGTTTTTCAGGTGTTCCTGGCTGTCCTTCAATTTTTGATAAAAGATAACCTAACAAAATATAAATAGTTTTATTATTTGTAAAAACTAAAATAAGATTTAATTTATTGTAAAATATAAATAAACGCTATAACTGAAACATTTTAACTTACTGAATTCAATTAAGAATCGCCCAAACCCTTGCCTTTGATACTGGGGCATTGTTAAAATACACGATACATTATATTTTTGTTGACAATGTTTCTCTTTTGAAAAATAACCAACTAAATGACAACCCTTAAAAAATATCAAAGTAAATCAAATATTATAACTGTTTATCAACGGCAAAATTAATTAAATTAATAAATACTAAATTTCATTACTCACATACGCATCATTTTTTGTTAGAACATAAAATAGGAAAGGTTCAACATCATAATAAAGAGTTTTGTGATCTAAAAATAATTTTGCTAAAAGACACAGAGTTTGGCAATAAATTTTGTTAGCATTCCCATCAACCTAAAATGTCAATAAATGTAAACTTCTCATAAAAATATAAAAGGGTTATCTAATAAATTTACTTCAAAAACACTTAGATCACCACGCCGATAAATTTCTGTAGCTGGTGGATGTCTCCAGTTACAATTGTGCATATGTCTTTCCAAAACAGATTTACTTTTAGTGTATTTTAGACAAAACTCACAAAGAAACAGTTTTGGAAGCCTAGCATATTCTTGAGGAAAAGGCGATGAAAACCATGTTTCTACTTCATATTTACCAAATTGAATTGCAGCAGGACATCGTACTGGTTGATTAGACGTAGTCATACACTCAGGAGTTTGAACTGTACTCTATTCCCCAATTAATAAACAACACATTAATCATTTAATAAGAAAAAAATATTAGGTATCTATTACATTAACGGCTCGTTTTCTTGTCTCCTTATAAATTTCTACGTCCTCATGCAAAACGCCGGATGGTAAATCTGATGCAACAAGGCGACTCATATTTTCCAAAACTGAAAATTGCAATTATTATTTGTTATTAAAAAGTTAGTATGCAAAAAATGTTAACTGCAATTCTACATTAAATAATTATCAAAGAGCATAACAGAAACAAATTTTCATTATTTTAAATTATTATAACAATAGTTAAATTTGTGAATTTGTAAACCATTATAATTTAAACAAATAAATAACAATATAATTCCATCTGGTTTTTAGGCATGCCTGATATGCTTTTGATAAATAAATTTAATATTGTTGTACAACATATTACTTGGTATATACACACAATGTTCACTTGATTAACTCAAAAGAACAGAAATAACCTACAGCATGCAATGGATTAAAATTGATATAAGCCCTTAATAATTATGGTAGTATTTTATGCAGCTGGCGAATACTAGCAGGATTTTGTAAGGAACTTGCTTACCGGAACGGGTGACTGGACGTATCGTCGGCACGGACTGACGGTCACGGAAGGCGGAAGAAGGAGAATCATTTAAGGATTTATCATTATCATTAAGCAATTGGTCACCCCCAGGTACATCTCTTGTTTCCATAATTTTTGATGAAACAGCAGATTTAACCAAAAAACTAGGAGATTGTTGTTTGTCAGATTCCTTAAGCTTTTTATCCGCACAAGTGATTTTAAGGTCAGTCTTAACAGATTTTGAATCTTTTTCAGTTCGAAGTCGAGTTCGAGATTGTAATGGTGTTGAATAAAAATGACTTAATCCATCAAACAAACCCTTTAGTTGAATAAACCCAGCAATGGGTTTATCTTTTTTATTGTTACTAATTTCAGGTTTTATATGTTCAATAGGAGGTTTGGTTGCCAAAGCAGCAAAACCCCAGGGTTCATTTGAAGTTTCAGTCAATAATTTTTTGAAAAGAGAAATTGGAGTATCAGATTTTTCAGACTTGGAATGTGACAGAGGAAAAATTTTGGGCTGTGAAGAATTGACTTTGGCAATTAATTTTGGTGCTCTTAATAATACTTTTGGGGTTGTTGATTTATTATAATTTTTTTTAATTTCATTGTGATATTTTATTTTTTCACTTATTTTTAAACGGTGTTCATGTTTTTTAGAGGATTGGACAGACTCAGATGTTGAGCTGCAGTTTTTATAGGACATATTTGAAGGACTATTAATAATATCGGCATTCCTTGCGGCGAGACATTTTGGGAGAGGAAATATGGGCCGGCTTGGACGCACAGAAAGAGAACAAGCATGCGCACTGCTGCTACTACTGCTGCTAGAGCTGTTACTACTATCGCTAGAGCTACTGCTCGTGCTACTTGAACTGCTGCTGCTGCGACTGCGGCTGCTCGAGCTTGAACTCGAGCTGCTAGAGCTATCGCTGCTGCTAGAGCTATAGGGCTTGTTTGTGGGGGCATTGACTTTCGGCACACCAGATCCTCTCCCGTTCATACCTCGCGCATTAAACGCAGCACTTTGCCTAAAGAATTTTGCTTTCTCCTTGGAGATAGCAGTGTCCCGCCGCATATTGCCGCTAATCGGAACGGGAGAGGGGGGAGCCGAGGAGTCAGGAGAGGAGACATTACCGTCTTCCGTGACATCGCGTTGATTGAGTGAACTTGAAGTGGATGGTATCCCAAGTCGATGTTCTTGCGTTTTTGTGAGTTGACTTCGTCCACGACTTGATCTGAAATTTTTAATAATCAATAATTTGTATTAATTAAAGCAAGAATTAAAATTTTATTAATCTTATAAATGTTACTAAATATTATTATTTATATTGAGATTTATTACTTTAAAATATAACATTGTTTTTCATAATAATATTTCAAGTATTCAAAATTAATAAAAATTAATAATCAGGACTCGTAAGTTCATGCATTTGCATTTTTTCTTTGCTACATCGGAAAATTTGCTAATTGAGATAAAAATCAAATTCATAATAATGGTAATAAAAATCTAAAGTTTAATAGAGCATGTTTTTGCATGTTTTGTGTGTATTGGCATATTTGGCATATAGTTAATTTTTTTTGAGTTATTAGCATATATTATTTTATGTTAATTCAGCGAAATGGTTTTTTGTGGAAGTCAAAAAAAAAATTTAGATCAATAAATGTTTGAACTCATTTTTATTTACTTTTCTGAACTTGTTTATAAAATCTTAGTATTTCATCAACTTTTATTTTTTTATGATATTAAATTTTATAAGTTAAAAGCAGTACCATGGAAACAATGTTATTGCGCTCCACTACCACTCCCCTCCTATTGACGTGTCCATTGCAATCTATCTATTTTTGTTGCAAAATATGTTCATTAATTATAATTTTAATAAAATGTAACTGAAGAAAAAATATGAACGGATAATTTTTATTATTTTAAAAAAATGCTTATACATTTTTTTTTTCGTGCATAGTTAACAATTTTAAATCAAATTTGATTAAATGTTAGTGCATTACTGCATACTTATTTATGCATTTTTTTAGTGCATGAACTTACGAGCCCTGGTAATAATGTAAACAAAAACTAATACATTTTTAATACTCGTAAATGTATATATAAATAAATGCTTAGCCTGGAAAATCATTACATTTGAAATTTGGTTGTACATCAAAAATATAATACTCCAAGCTAAACATTTGTTTATTTTTATACATAAACTATAATTACTAGTGATGGGTTAAATTGTTCAAATGTCTATTTGTAATCTAAACTCAAAATGAAAGAAAATTTAACCAGTTTTACCATTTATGTATGTTCAAAATTTGAACTTGAAAATATTTTTAAACAATCTAAAATTCATTTTTCATAATTTATTAGTTCATAGCAAGTATCATAGGAGTGTTAACTATTTATTTTATATTATTGCGATTAGGTATGATAAAATAAAATAATTCCACGTTGAAACATATTATTTTTGTAAATATCTATAGGTAATATTATCACAGATTATTTTTCAAATGTGTGATATTATGATCAAAAACACAAATCTATTCTTAGAAAAGTGAAAAGGAATAATATAAATTTTGTTTGTACTCTATATTTTTAAAATTTTTATCAGAAATAATAATAATAATAAATATTGGATGTTAATGAATAGTTTATTATATATTATTAGGTACATTAAATTTTACACAATATATGTAAAATTTTCATAATTTCAATCTATTAGTGTTATTATTATTATTATTATCATAATTATTATCTATTATTTATTTATAAAAGGAAAAAAAATTATGAGTTAGTTATTAGTTAGTTAGATAAAAAATGTAAATAGCTTGGTTCTGTTAGAGTTTGTAATATTTTGATAATGTTCGGTTAGACACTGAAAACTCAGGTTCAACCTATCACCTAACCATCTAACCTACTAATTACATATTCAAAATCAGTTATAACTAGATGGTTATAACTATTTTATGATAAATTCATAAAATAATTGTTTGATTTGCCTAGTTCAAAATAAAATATTTATCACATTTATTTGTAATCTATAAATTTATACAATTATATTAGCAAAGAACTTAGTGCGAAAATTATTTAAAAAAAAAAATTTTAAATGACATGATACTTAAGTGCAAATTTATATGTTAACATTTTGATTTTTATAGCTTGAAATTTGTCCATTTAAATTTTAAAGAAAAATGGAACAATACTTATTATTGTGTACAAGGTATACGATTCTCAGAAAACCAATGGTATTTATAATTAATTTTTCCGTAAGACAATTTAGAAAAAAGAAAAAGGCTAATGTAACCACATACTTTTGATTTTTAAGACTAGATTTTTTTTTCCCTCTCCTTTCTGTATATGATTCTTCTTCAATAGATATATTGGTAGTTTCATGATGGTCTAAACAAAATGAACATCGCCACGCAGATTTTGGCTTATCTCCAGCTGGTGGTTGTAAGCATTGCATATGATAACCTCGATCGCAAGTATCACAGTTTAATAAAAACATCTAAAAATTTAAAAATTAAAAATAAATATCCAAATCATTAGAAATTTAAATTAAATTTTAGTTACATGTTCGGTTACTGAACACGATGGTATTGCAGAGCATGTTCTACAATCTTGACAAAACCATCGAGATCCACGTGCCAATAAAGCAGTTAAAGGTCCACTACCTTTCATAGCTAAACAAGAAGGATGTAATGAAACACCACAACCACCACGACATTGTTTTAGATCTTCTGCTTCACCGCATTGGTTTATGGCTGCTGTACCCAAACAAGCAGTACAGACATTTTGGCTAGAAGTCTATGATTATTAAAATACATTAGTAAATTAGTATACATTTCAATTAATATTAGATATATTTTACTTTATTAAATTCTTTGTCACTAGCTTCATTATCAGTTAGAGAACTAGTATCACAAATGGATACTTTTCTTCTTTTCCTACCAGCTCTACGAAGTGAAAGAGGAGTTTCAATAGCATAATTTTTTGATAAACGAGCTTTTCTTCCAGAACTATATTTTGAAACAGGTGTTCCAATTAATGATGTTGTAGAATCTGGACTGACAGGTAATCTGTATAATTTTCCATCCAATACCAATAAACCTTTATCAACAGCTTTGCTCAATGTTGACTTTAACAATGAAGTTAAGTCACACCCTTCGTTTTTAAGTTCAATACAATAGGCATGATGAATATACCGGTCAATGTTTTTATAAGATGAACCCTCTTCATCTAGTTGGCCAACTACTTTCACTAAAATCTTGGTTAAGTCAGTATCAGCATTAATAATCAATTTACGATTAGCAGTGCCATCTGGATTCATATAAGTATTTTGACCTTTGTTGAATACTTTCAACACAGCACCACTTTCGACACATCGTTCAATTTGAGTTTCAATATCTCCTACAGGGTAACGATGATGTTGACGTATTGCATTGACAATGCGTTCTAAAGATGGCCGCTGCTTTTGACCGCGAATTTTGTTCACTGCATCTAAAACCCAAGTTTGCCATTGAGAGAAACTTACAGAAGTGTTCTCCTTTTCTTTTATTGATTCCTTCATTTTTCCTAAAAAATAACACACTAATTATTAGTAGTATAAAACAAAAATTAACACTTGAATACAACTTAATAGTTATTAAGTAAAATTAATAATATCTGATAGTCAACTGTTCATTACACCAAAACAAAAATGTTACAAATTAAATAATATGAAATAAGTACCACTGTTAATACTACTACTAAAGTCTATAAAATAATTAAAAGTCTAATTTAATAATTATATAATAGTAAAATAAAATCTAAATAATTTATCATTTTTAAGTTGAATAATATACATACTAAATTTAAAAATGACTATTATAAATTAGAAAATTAAGAAAATCATTTTAAGTTTGATAAGTACTTACTAGATAATATTAATTATTGATCATTACACCATAGTTATGAAAAGTTATAATAAATATTTAACTCAAATATAATATTTAGAGACAAAAGTATCTTAAAAATATATTCATTATTCTAATTTGATAGGGGATTTTTATAAAATACTTTTATTTATTTGTTTTAAACTTTTGAGGTTATGTATATACCAATTAACCTTTTAAGGTTAAATAAAAATAAGATTAACTTTAAATACTTGGTTACTGAATAAATTCAAAGTGCAGAATGGATAAATTTAAAAATAAACAGAACACAAAGGAGAAAATTATACTGGCAAATGAAAAAGTAAATACATTTATCATAAAACACACAATACATTAAGTAATAAATATTTCTATTATCACTTAATGTATTCTGATATCAAAACTCACAGAAAACAATAAATCGATAGAAGTTTTAACGCATAAGAAAAAACTGTAGGTACTTACTATTTGCATGAAATTTACATATTAATTAAATGTAAAGAATAAAAATAAATATTACATAAAAAACGAATGAAACGAATAATCATTATCAATAACGAGTGATTAAAAAAAGGTGACGCTATCAGTTTTATACGATTTTGTAACGATTTCAGTGTAATTAAAATCTTCTAAAAAAAAAACCAAGAAACTCTGGTAGAACGTTACCACGAAATAAAGAACGAGTATTTAAATATGAAAAGGAAAAACTAATTTTCCGACTCTGTGGATAATAAAAATAAATGATTCGTGTGTGACAAACCGAACCGTAGTGGCGGTATATCAAAAGAAACGACTATTAATAACGTTAATATTATCACGATTGTTTGGGAAGTGAACTCAAGGCGAAAGAGAGGTGTGGAAGGGTTCGCGTTCTGAACTTTATCAGTATCCAGTAAAGACATGATACCACTAAACAAAGACAGACGGAAATTAGCATTGACAGCAAAGCATACTGCGGAGAAGACGACAACGATGATAGTGATAATAATAGTAATAACAACAACAACAACAAAAGACGGTCGGCGTGAAGGGAGAAAAGAATGACATTTCGCGGGTAAAATTAGTGTTTAAGAAGTATCAAACGATACGCGTAGCGGTATGTCTAGTCAGCAGCCATGATTGCAAACATCGAGCCGAGGGTTCGACGGACGGAAGCGGGGGCGGGAAAAATAACAAAACACCCTTTTCCCACGCATCGACGACCGTCGCTCCCTCCAAATATTTGACCCACATTATGAGCGGACGCGCGCGCGCGCGCGCGCTCACGTTGACGTCGCGAAGGGTACCCGACGACGGGAAAATAATGAATAACACACCAAAATAAAAAAAACACCCCGGGTGCGCGACTTACCTCGTTCAACGGACATCACCGGTACTGATGATGTTGCTGATGCGAAACGACGATGACGAGAAACGGTTCTCCGCGAGCATACCACCCCGCGGCGCGTGCGAAACGAAGCGGCGATGGGGCGCGAGAAACGTTACACGGGCGATCGTTACCGCGTACGGGATCACGTCGTTTTCGCAGCGCATCGTCGTCCGCGGGCGACTGTGCCCGTCATGGGTGGCGCACGAACGGCGGGCGGCGCGTTGCCCGATCGGTACGGGAGAGTTCTATCGTCGTCGTTGTTGTTGTTGCTGCTGCTGCACGTCCTAGGATTTGTCCTCGGGAACGAAATGCGTGGCGGCGAACGCTGCGCGATTTCACATCGTTACGCGTTTTTTATTTATTTATTATTTTTTTTTTCACTTTCTTGCGGTCTATTTTCGCACTGCGTCACATAACGATCGGCTGGTGCACGGAACGCGGACGGACGGACGGACGGACGAGAAAAAAAATGTCACGAACGGTCACGGCGCACGGTAAAATCGGTGTTGCGGCGCGAACAGGGAATTTATCGTTTTCGTATTATTTATTTTGTTGTGTTGTTGTGCTGATTGCAATATCGAAGCGGACACAAACTCACGCACGCACGCACATCGACGCACGAACTGCGCACACTCGTCGTACGACCGTCGCGGGCAACGGCGGCGGCGGCGGACGGGAGAACAACAGTACAGTGGCGCGCAGTCGCAACACCGCAATAATTACGTGCTACGGAAGATGGCCGTCGACGATTCCGGGTCGGTTACACCGGGGATCAGGTTGACCAACCGATCGGTGTTCGTCCGGCGGATCGACGGCGCTACCACCACCGGTGATGATCGCGACAACGTTATCGGACCGGATCGTTCCCGCGTAAACCGCGATACGCGGTCGCGAACGCCGCGCGAAAGCGTTTCGGGGTGGTTTTTGATGAGTAAACGCTAAACGTTTTATGTTCAGCTCCACGGCCGTTATTCCGATGTCCACTGATTCGCCGCAGCAGGTGTGACGATATCATTTTTATCGATCCGAGTTGGAAAAAAAAAAAATAATTTTTTCCACGGTAACTATTGGATTTCAGATCCCCAACCGTCCGGTGACTAGATAGGCACATCACCGTTCTTGAAGAAAAACAAAAATTAATAATCACTCGTTTTGCACGGCAACATTGCGTATAATAATCTGTGCGTACTGCGAGTGCAATGATGTATACCTTGTATTTTAAACCACCGCATGTTTTTTTTTAAGTTCTCTATTTTTTACTGAATTACATATAGGTATATATGTATACTACGATACGTTTAACCATTGATTATATATTATTAATGTATGATCAATGCTCTAACGAATATTGGTGGAGGAACAGAATTTTTGCTTCCAGCGTTGTAAGTTTCCATTGGATCATCGGTAGATCCTTGTAATATATTTTGTCGTGGAAGCGTGAGCCCAGAGTCATCATGCGATAGCACTTCGAATAGTTATTTATGTAATAATTTACTTATAATATTAAATGTAAATACGTATTAAAAGTTAAGAAGTATATAAATGTGTAGTATAGAATCGTAACTGATTGAATTACAATTAATATTGGTAAATCTTTTTTTCTCGAAAATTTATTGTAAATCATTTTTTTTTATTCCTTTTTTTAAAGATTTAACGTTTCTAGATTTATAATTTTACAATTCTTTTGTTTCAAAACATAAACTTACAGTTTTTTAAATTTATTTGTTCCATTTTATTGTAAACGTTATAATTATTTATTACAAGTTATTATCAATTATTGTATTACAAAATAACGACCGCTCAATTTTCAAAATGTAAGTTAGTTATGAGTAGATAAGTAATAACATTGATCATTACTACTATTCATAGTACTATTTATAATCAATGGTAACAAGTAAGAAGTCTAATTCTTAGAATTTAAAATTAAAACGTACACCAGTAATCAAGATACACCGTATGAATTATTAACTTTACACACTTGTAGTTTCTTAGAATTTTAGAAAAAATAAAAATTTACCCTGATACAATTATAATATAATCAGTGCCGCAATAAATAGGTTTGCATACGGGCCTCCGGTTTAAAGGGGCCTCCCAAAGAAAAAGCTAAAATTTGAAGATAGTCTGTTTCAAAATATAACCTACCAATATTCGTTGCTTTCTCGTGGCTCGTGTTCGAAAGAATTTTGATTTTCAATACATTTATTATTAGCATGAGTAGATGATAATTAATATTATACAAGTACCTAGTATTTTAAAATGGATCAATAAATAATTCGGTTTTACAGTAAACGGGTATCAATGATATCAGTAATTCTTTTTCATAGAAACTTGGTGCAATAGTAAGATCATGGCTGTTACATTATTTAGTAGTTTAGTACTTATTTATAGTTTTGTCGTCTGTAATATTGCTACTATCGATTATAGGGCCTCGACTTAATTGACGTACAAATACGAATTAAGAAAATAATATTATTAAGTATAGCAATATAATTTGAGGAATATTAGTCATTATCGCAGGGACCCTATCTGTTATTACTAGTTGCGGCGTTAGGCCACGGTCACACGAGCGTTTTACTGACGTGCGTTACGACGGACGTCACAACGTCCGTTGTTGAATTATGTTGAATTATGTTACGACGGTCACACATTTGACATCCGTTCGACGTCGACGACGTCCGATACATGCTACGACGGACGTAAATAGCGATTATCGGACGTTGTAGTTTATTATTAAATATTATCGACTCGGTCACATGAACGCTATTTTGACGCACGTTAATCGTGAAAATCGTTCAATTACTTTGTACATTTTATTATTTATTACCACAAAGTAACTGCCAACATCTCTTCTGCTGGTTTCGCAGATCTCATAACTGTATCTTGACGTATTATATTTGTTTTAATTTTATTAAACAGCTCGTCAAATGTGTTTTGAGACATGCGAAAATAATTAAAAAATTTCGCATTGTCAGCTCTCAGCAAGTTATATAGATTGTAAAATGCACCGTTTAATAATCGTTCACTATTTATTGGATGAACCCTCCATTTTCGATTCACGCGTTTTTTCGTAATACTCGTATAGCAGAGTATACAAAAATCGCGGTATCCAAATCGTCCATTTTGTAGAATGCGAAATCAACAACTGACGTTTTATTTTACGTTCGTGTGACTAAGGTAGTGACGTCCGTTATAACTTAACGTCCGTTCTTTCAACGCTCGTGTGACCGTGGCCTTATTGAATATTTCACGCGGCAAATTGTAAGCTTAAAAACAATCATTTTATCTCAAAACCAGGGCTTTGCACCCGAATTAATCCGAACCCGTAACACCCCTAAAAACCCTTAAATCAAACACCCAAAACCTATATAACCCGAAAGATTTTTTTTTTAAAAACACCCGAATTAACCAAAACCCGAATAAAATATTGGTTTTAACCTGAAACCCGAATAATTTTTTATTTTACAATCTTTATGTGACATATCATTTTGTAAGTATTTTTTGTGGTTATTTTAATTTTGTCATTAATTCTTTAATAGTAAAATTATTATTCACAGGAATAATTTCACAAATAATATACAAAATTGTTAATTAATCTAAATTTATCTAAATAAAGACAATAGCAATATATCATATTGACATGTATGCATGAATGATATGGTATGTTGAATGTTGAGTGTAAACAACTGGGATACTATTTTTAAAATTATCCCAAGTGGATACGTCGTATTATTATAATTTAATAGGTAATAGGTCTTCTACGAATCACCGAATTGTTATTTATTGCAATACTGTAAGTCTGAAATAGAATTAATGTCTGGCGTACGATTACCTAAATTATTGTTCGTGTTATTCGTACTTGTTCAGTGTATGGCGTGTAGTACACATGTCTATGGCGTGAATTATCAATTTTTGTTGGTGTAATAATTTCGTCGTAACATTCATGAGTACAAATTATCATTATTTTTGTATTACGCTGTCTTAGCTAATACGTTTTTAGTGTGTGCACGCACCACAAACCATAAGGGGAAATTTGGTGAAATTTGTGGGGGCTGAGGATTATTTGCTTATTGCACCTATAGATACCACTGTGCGCAATTATTTATTTCAACAAGGCAATTTACGAAGTTTGACAATTTGACTTTTTTAATCAACAATTTAAACAAACAAACGATTAAGGGCCTTATCTTAAAAATTTTGGAGTAGGTACTCTAAAAAGAAATTATTAATTAATTAAATTAAACAACCTATACGGGTATTATAACATATTATTAATATTACATTAATTGCAATCGTTCCAAGTCATGATAAGTTTGTAAAATCTTATGAATTTGATTTAATTTTTATCACAGAATTTTTTTTTTTTAATTCAGTTATTAAAAATGCATATTACAATTATAATAATTATTGTATTTTTAGTCACTTAACAATTTTTAGGGCTAGGGGGCTAAGACCTGTACTTAATATTTCCGGGGGCTTAGTCCCCTCAAGCCCCCCCCCTCGGTTTCCGCCTATATCACAAACAAAAACGCAAAATACAAAATAGTTTGTTTTTTGTCGTATGCGATATGCCCGCACTAACTAGGAGTAGGACATAGTGTCAGTATTTTTATATAATTTTTAAGCTTCTTACACATATAAAAAACCCCCTCTTCCCCGAAAATAAATTGTAGTTACACCATTTCTTAAATTTAACATAATGATAGTTTGGTCTAAAAAACTGTTGCATAGCTGTATAAGAAATTGATGTTTTATTACATAGGCAGGTAACAAAAAATATAAATATTTCATTAGTGGAGGGAGGGCTCAGCCTCCCCACCACCCTCCAACAATCAAAAATAATATTTTTCCTTGACTACTTAACACCCGTATTAACCAATATTAACCCGAATAATAACGGTTATTAACACCCAAACGTTTGTTTAAATGGGCGTTACACGTTTCCATCAAAAGTAGACCCTTTTCCACCAAAAGTGTATCTTTCCCTTTTCCATCAATATCCGTTTCCACCAAATAAGATAAAATACCTATACTTTTCATGAGTTTTTCGGATTTATGTAAAATATATATAAATATACACACAATATAATCAATGTATTTTGTACATTTATTGTATTAAATTGTATGTTAAACCCTTATCGTACTTATGCATGTACTTTTATGTCCATTAACCATTATAATATCTAAATAATCAAATACTATATGAACAAGTGAAAAGATGGCACAGTTTAAATAGTGCATTACAACTGCTTGTGTGTAAAAATAAAACGTAAATTTTAAAATTTATAATTCTTTGATGGCTAAAGTTATCGAAAGTAAACGTGGAAATAAAATACTAGTACTAAACAACTTTAAATTTTTTATTGGATCAGTTAACAAATATCAACTAATTATATATGCATAGTTACAATTTACATAACTAAAGTATCGTATATCATAATATATTATTTTTTCATCTTTTTATATCTGACCATTTTTTTAAATAAAATTTAAAATTTTCCAACCTATATTGTATATATTATATAATGCCTTTACATTTAATGTTATTTCTGTGCTATAGCTTTTAATTTAAGCGTAGTATACAATTGTTTTGGTAAAAACGTGGTCAATATTTCATTCAATTTTAATATATTTTTTTGAACTGTTTTAAAAAATATGCTCAAAAAAATGGCTATCTTAAAAATTGAAAATTCTTAAATGCATAAACAATTTTTTTTTTA